ACACCCCGGGCATGTGCCCTTGACTGGAATCGAGCCTGGGACCCTTCAATCGACAGGCCGACGCTCTTATCTACTGAGCCAAACCAGCTAACGCTACGCATAGTTTTTTTAGTAGCTATGCAATGTTTCATATTGTTTCATTAATATTATTTCATGTACATGATGACTTCTACTGTTCCCCTACGGATAAACATTGGGTTGTTTCGAGGCTTCATTTTTTTAATCTATAGACAATATTGCCATAAACATTCTTGTACTTACATAGCGATTATGGCATGGATTCCCCAAAGTGGGAATACGGGGTCAAAGGGCATGTATGTCTTCAATTTTAGTAAAGATTACCACCCTATTCCCCAAAAAGGAATGCCACAATCCCCCTCCTCGGGAGCAAGGAACGAGAGTGCCTCTTTTTCCACATCCTTATTAGCACTTGATGTCACTTCTCTATTTTAATCAGTGTGACAGGGACAAATGCTACCTCATTGTGTCTCTCTGTGTCATTTCCCTGGTCAGTGGACTTGGGAAGCAGTTTTTCACATGTTTATTTTTTGTTTATTTATTTATTTATTTTTATTGATTTTTTTTTTTACAGGGCAGAAGGGAGAGGGATAGAGAGCTAGAAACATCGATGAGAGAGAAACAACGATCAGCTGCCCCCTGCACACTCTCCTACTGGTGATGTGCCCACAACCAAAGTACATGCCCTTGACTGGAATCGAAGCTGGGACCTTTCAGTCTGCAGGCCGACGCTCTATCCACTGAGCCAAACCAGTTAGGGTGTGGTTGTTTTTTTGTGTGTTTTTTTGGTGTGATTTTCTTCCTGGAAGGTAGTTAAATTATTAGTAGTGCCTGTTCCTATCAGGTTTGGTTTTAGGTTTTGTTTGGGAGAATCTCTTTTGGTTTCGTCCTTTAGTCCTAGGGATGGCCTGTGTGCGAGGACTTAGTCCTTCATCCTTTGGGAGTCTCCACCGAATGCCCAGAATGTGTCTCGCGTGTCCACCATGGCTGGGCTTGAGCTCCAGCATGCTCCAGCCCTGAGCACACTCTGCTACTTCTGTCCCTTGCTCTGTGCTAAGCCTCACAGTCTCACTCTGGACACACACAGCCCACAGCCCGGCCTTCTCTGACCAAAGACTCAGAGAAACGCCTCTGCAGGGACTTCTGCCTCCTTCCATCTCCCATTGAGCTGCTCCCCCCTCCTCTGAACCCTGACCTGCAAATTCCTGCCGCTTCAGCAGCCTCCAGCGCGCAGTTCTGCCTCCTCAGCGCAGGAAGGCTGCTCTTTTGCTTGGGACCCACCTCTCTCTGTAGCAGCTGGGCGGTTGCACGCAGGCAGAAGGCCAGGACAAACACGGGGTTCATCTTGTCTGTTTCCCTTTTCTCGAGGATCAGAGCCTCTGCTGCCTATTTTTCCAATGCCTGAGAACAATGGCTTCTGATTTTCCGTTTTTTGTTTTTTTTTAAACTTAATTTTTTATTTAAAAAAATATTTTATTGATTTTTTTTCAGAGAGGAAGGGAAATGGATAGAGAGCCAGAACCATCAATGAGAGAGAAACATTGACCAGCTACCTCCTGCACACCCCCTACCAGGGATGTGCCCGCAACCAATGTATATGCCCTTTACCAGAATCGAACCTGGGACCTTTCAGTTTGCAGGCCAACCCTCTATCCACTGAGTCAAACCAGTTTTTTTTTGTTGTTTTTTTCATATTTAAGATCCAGCTAGATTTTTAAAAATACCCAATTTGACAATCTCTGTTTCTTAGAGTGGAATTTAGCATTTATTGTATAATAACAGATATATTGGATATTATTCCTTTCATCCTGTTTTTCTTAATTATTTTCTCTTTCTCCTTTTCCCTACTTTTGCTGCTTTAATCACATTTCCTTATTCTCCTGTTATTTCAGAACCTTGACTGTGCTTTTCAATGCTACCATGGTTACCTCCCTTCCCCTTGCTAACATGATAACCAAAGGTATATTTTTTTATTAGCATAACACAATTAAATTATGTCTAAGCTTTTATTAAAAAAATTTTTTTTATTGATTCCAGAGAGGAAGGGAGAGGGAGAGTGAGAGAGAGAGAAAAACATCAATGATGAGAGAGAATCATCGATTGGCAGCCTCCTGCATGCCCCCCACTGGATACTGAGCCCGCAGCCTGGGCATGTGCCCTTGACCAGAACTGAACCCGGAACCCTTCAGTCCGCAGGCTGATGCTCTATCCACTGAGCCAAATCAACCAGGGCAAAATCATGATTAAGCCTTTAGAGCACATTTATTTCTCTAGTCTCTCCAGCTCTCAATGCCTCCCTTTTACTGGCCTGAACTGACATTTCTAGACCAGGGTTTTCATTCAGACTTCTTTTTGGCTTATTTCTTCTGTTTTGAGCATACTTAGGGCAAACAATACAAGTTCTTGGACATTTAAAAAAATATATATATTTTATTGATTTTTCACAGAGAGGAAGAGAGAGGGATAGAGAGTTAGAAACATCGATGAGAGAGAATCATCGATCAGCTGCCTCTTGCACCACCCCCTACTGGGGATGCGCCTGCAACCAAGGTACATGCCCTTGACCGAAATCGAACCCGGGACCTTTCAGTCCGCAGGCCGATGCTCTATCCACTGAGCCAAACTGGTCCCGGCGTTCTTGGACATTTTTACAACTCTTTTTCAGAAGAAGGCTAATGAAGGGAAGGGAATTAACTTTTAGTAAAGTACGGTACTATAATATATTGGTTTTTATCCAAAAAAAAATGACTGGCCATGTGGACCATACTCACAATCTCAGCGAGCAGGAGGTGTGGTGATAATCACGAACAATGTTCTGTTTTGGGAGGTTCTTAAAGGTACACTCTCACTCCATCTCACCATCACTTGTGGAGCCACAGGTGTGTGCTGGGCTTCCCTCTGCTCTGCCTCTGCTTACCTGCCTGATCTGGTTCTCTCTCCATCTCAGTCTTCCCAGGCCCATCTCTTCCCAAAACAGATGTAAGAGCGCCTTCCTTTGAACCCTACCTCGTTTATCTCTCTCCTGACACCTCATCGGCTTTGTATGACAAGTTTGGGTATTTACATATCTTTACCCCTCTCCTCTTTTCTTGGGGAGCGGGCAGGTATCTTGGCTTTGTATTCCCAATGCCTAGCACAGCCCCTGACACACAATGCATACCGAGATGAAAGGATCAGAAGTACTTACTATATGGGTCAAGGAATTACCTACATGAATGAAAAATAAATTTAAAAAATCAGACTTTAACTTAGTGAAGGCTTTTGTGCACTTTCATTTTTTGCATCTATGAGCTAAGGTTTTTATAGAGAACTGCCTTCATGATGCCCCATCTGCACATTCTTGAGAATTTCCTTTCTAAAAGCAAAGCATTTACCGCTCACGGATGATATTAATAACTTCCCTTCATCTAGGGCTTCCCAGTCTTTACCGCTGCAGTATCTGGGGAATTTTGACCTGTTTGGAAGCTAAACTTGAAAAAAATGAGAACATGGATTTTTTTTTTCATGTATCATTATACTTCTCATATATATATATATATATATATATATATATATGAGAAGTATAATGATATATATATAGTGTCTGAAACAAGGTATAAATGCTCATTTAGAGGGGAAAAAATACTAAAGCCTCTTCTGCTTCTATAAATTTTTTTTCTGCCTTCTTTTTATTTCCATTTGTTTAGAAATATGTTTCAAGAGTTTGCTGTAGCTGCACTTTTGCTGGAAATACATCCTGCTCCTCCCTCGTGGGCTCAGGAGTTCATGGTGAGTCAGACAAGTCAAGAAGCAGAGTGATTGCACCCTGGTTGGGCCGAGAACCTGTGAGTGGGGAAGCCAGAGGCGGGCCCTCCTCAGCCAAGGAATGCTTCTCAGGTTATACCAATCAGAAAACTATGAAGATAGCCCTGGTCAGTTGTGCTCAGTGGTTAGAGCGCCAGCCTGTGGACTGAAGGGTCCCGGGTTGGATTCTGATCAAAGGCATATGCCAGGTTGCAGGCTCGATCCCCAGTAGGGGGCATGCAGGCGGCAGCCAATCAGTGGTTCTGTGTCATCATTGTTGTTTCTATCTCTCCCTCTTTCTTCTTCCCTGAAATCAATAAAAATATATTAAAAGAAAAAAAAAAGGAAAAGAAAACTATGAAGATGAGGAAGACTTAGGCTAGATATGAGTGGTGGAGAGAAAGGATGGGACCATAGTATGCCAGGCAGAAAAAACAAGTTCCAGAGAACCCTCCCACATCTGGAGAAGTATAATTACTTCCTAGTGGTTGGAGTGTCCTGGCAACCCATGAAGCTTTTGTCTTTCCTCCGTTTTATTTTTAATTACTTTGTTTGTTTGTTTGTTTGTTTGTTAGAAACACAGTGCCAGGCATTGGTGAGTTAGCCATCATGCAGAGCAGGCCCTCTGCAGTGGTTGGTACGGAGCAGACCTGGGCTACCTAAGGCTCTTAGGAGCCTAAAGCTGGAAGGTCTGGCCTTGGCCTCCTAACCCAGACCTTCTTTCTTTTTTAAAAATATATTTTATTGATTTTTTACAGAGAGGAAGGGAGAGGGATAGTCAGAAACATCCATGGGAGAGAAACATCGATCAGCTGTCTCCTGCACACCCCCTACTGAGAATGTGCCCGAAACCAAGGTACCGGAATCGAATTTGGGACCTTTCAGTCTGCAGACCGACGCTCTATCCACTGAGCCAAACCAGTTAGGGCCAGACAATTCTTTTTTCTTTTTTCCAAAGATAGAGATGATTTATTAATCATTGTAACAAAAAATATATCTATATGTACATGTATATATGCAGAAATAATGGGTCAGAGGATATTAAACCCAAGTGTTCACAATTTTATAGGTGGTAGTATTAAGGCTGAATTTCCCTTCTTCTTTTTTAAAATTTATATTATTGTTAAAAATATTACGAGTCTCTGTGTCTCCCCCCCCCCCCCCCATTGACCTCTCCCTGGCAGCTCCCACCCCCCACCCTTTCTTCTTCTTTTTTTTTAAAAAGTCATTTTTAGAGAGATAGTAAGGAAGAATGAAACATCAATTGATGGCCAGGCATTTCTTAAGTTCAAGGACAGGGTCTGATTCACTCTCTGCTCTGTCCCCAGCCCTGGGACAGTGCCAGGCGGCAGTCAGAGCTCAGTATCGGTTGGAGGAATAAGATGGCCACCCAGGACCCTGGCGGAGACTATTATCACTCTTGGGCAACTTCTTGCCGGCTGGGGCTTCCAAGGTGGGTCCCGGGATGTCTCTGAGCAATGAAGTAGTGAACTCAGCTGCAGGTCTCCTACCACAGATTTGCTAGGAGAACCTACTCACCGAGCAGTGATGCCCTCGATCTTGTCAGCCAATTAATTCCTTAAGCACTCCACGTTAGGGAAGGCCTGCTGATTTGATGTTATCTGTCTTTTAAGAGGGATCTTTGATCATATCCCGTTCCAGCTGGACTTCCTCTCCTCTTCTTCCCTCCTCCATTACCGATGGTGCGGGATCTAATTACCTCATCACCCCTTAATTTATTTATGAAAGGGCTGAGGTTAAAGAAAAGAACATATCTCCTGGACCCTTTTGGGGAACCTTGTGCAAAAGCTTTCCTTTCTCTATTCCCTCCTTTACGCCCCATAAAACCTCCGTTTCTGTCTCCGGCAAGTTGGAAATGTTCTTACTTACAAATTTAAGTAAATAAACTTCCCTCCCCGGGGCGGAGTGGAGGCCAGCCATGTGGGTTAAGCCTGGCCCGCCACTCCCCGTGGATCAATCAATCTATCAACAAGAATTCATTGATCCCACAGGAAGCAGATTTCAAAACCAGCACACGGCTCCTGGACGTTCTTGGCTTCCTCTTCACAAGACACTTGGGAAAGAGGAGTGTTGTGAAATTTTTAATTTTATTATATTACACAAATATCACATGGATACAAGTCAGCTTTCAAACAATTCCAACGACATGCTGTGTGGAATAACAAGCGAAAGGCTTTCCCTTCCCGCGCGTCCCATCCCAGTGGAAGAAGTTGAGAGTGTATCCTTTTATTCAGGCCTTTGAACAACGCACTTTCTTACATGAACTCCTACATAAGTATTTAATTAAAAAAACATAAATGAGATCATAACATAGGTTTATTTTTTTTAAAACATAGGTGTTCTTTTAAAAACCACACACACACACATATACATACATATATATATGTGTGTGTGTATACATATATATATATATATATATATATATATATATATATATATATATATATAATATGGCCTGACATCTATTGTCAGACCACACGAATGTCCATTTTAATGACTGAAATAGTATTTCACAGCATAGACGGACCGTTATTTATTTACCGGTTTTGCCATTGATGGGCGTTCACATAGTTTCCAAATTTTCAGTACCGGTTCTCTGGGGATTATCCATTTAATCTTGCCTTTCTTGTGGGCTCACCCTGTGCCCTGCAGTCTACTCGGGGTTAAGGGGGGTGGGGGGTTGTTAAACAAAACAGACACCTAAATATAGTTATGAGTGATGAAAAAAGAGCACTTTCTTTTTTCCAAGAGAACGAGACAGGTTGAAGACCGGTCTCTCCATCAGCCTAACGGTCCGATGAGTCCGCCCGGGAGTCTCCCCGGCATGAAAAGGGGCTCCAGGACCCGTACAGCGCGGGCGAGGAGGAGAAGCGGGAGGCTTGAGCGCACGCCCCGCCGGCGCCCAGGGTCTGCGGGCCGCAGCGAGGAGCAGCTCCCGCACACCGCGCGCTGGGCCCGCGCGCAGGTCCGGCGGGGCGGGGCCGAGCGGCGCGCGACCCTCGGCGCGCTCCGGGAGGGAGGCCCGGGCTGGGGCGGCCTCTCTGGCCCAGTCTCCCGCGGGCTCTATGACACCGCGCTGGCTGGCGGGACGGGGCGGGGCTGGCCGAGGGGGGAGGAGACTGCGAAACGCTGTAGATCTCGCGGGGAAACCTCGCGCGGGGCTCTCTCGCGAGAACCAGGAAATCCCGCGCTTGCGCGCAGCCGTGCCTGGTGGCTGTGGCAGCTCCGGCGGCGGGCGTGTGTGAGCGGAGGCGGTCCAGTGTGGAGGCGGCTGCGCCCCCCCGCGACTCGCCACGATGAGCAGCACCTTAGCCAAGATTGCGGAGATCGAAGCCGAGGTAAGGGGCGCAGCTCGCGCTTCCCTGTCCGTCCGAGCTTGCTTGTTTCTGTGGTGGTGGCTCTTGCCTACCTCCCTTCAGCCGCGTCAGAACCGGGCCGGCGTTCTCCGGCTTCCCTCAGCCTGGTTCTGCGTCCCCCGACTCCCCTCAGTGTGACCCCGCGTCCCCCGACGCCCCTCAGTCTGACCCCGCGTCCCTCGACGCCCCTCAATCTGACCCCGGGTTCCCCGACGCCCCTCAGTCTGGTCCCGGGTTCCCCGACTCCCTTCAGACCGGGCCCGAGTTCCACACCCCTGCACCTTGGTTGGTATCTCCTTGTTCTGTTGGTTTCTCTCCGTCTCTAATTGTGTGTGTGTGTGTGCACACCTGCGTGTGCACCGAATCCCGTGTGTGTGTGTGTGTTTGTGTGTGTATGTTCGTGTGTACGTGCCTGTGCACCGAATCCCGTTTCCTTACTCCAGTCCTGACTGCTCACGTACCTCAGTATCTTTCCTTGTCGCCCCTGGAAACCCCACCTTCCCCAGTGTGTGTGTGTGTGTGTGTGTGTGTGTGTGTGTGTGTGTGTATGTGCGTGTGTACGTGCGTGTGTACGTGCATGTGTACGTGCGTGTGCACCGAATCCCGTTTCCTTACTCCAGTCCTGGCTGCTCACGTACCTCAGTATCTTTCCTTGTCGCCCCTGGAAACCCCACCTTCCCCAGTCTCTCTGCTTTGAGGACCCCGTTTCCCGGGACTAGGGTCGAGGTGCAGATGGACCTCCGTGGAAGCTGTTGGATTCTGTCGCTCGCAGCCCTCAGAGCTCTTGGAACTGGGGAGAGTGGTATCTTTGTGTTCTGGGGGGCACGCCAGGTTCCAGCAGCAGAAAGGGGATCAGCAGACGAGTTTTAGTCTTATCTGTGCACGCTGCTTGTAATGTCACCTCTGTTTATACCCGTCTGTTGTCTGCTCTGTCACGAGGGGAATGGGCTGGGTCAGTGGTCGGCAAACTCATTAGTCCACAGAGCCAAATATCCACAGGACAACGATTGAAATTTCTTTTGAGAGCCAAATTTTTTAAACTTAAACTTCTTCTAACGCCACTTCTTCAAAATATACTTGCCCAGGCCGTGGTATTTTGTGGAAGAGCCACACTCAAGGGCCAAAGAGCCGCGTGTGGCTCGAGAGCCGCAGTTTGCCCATCCCGGGGCTGGGTGATGGAGAGAATGGATTTTCACTCCTTTTAACATTTGACTAAAATGGGTACTGGTATACTGACCTAAGAGGGACCTAGGAAAACAAAACATAATTTTCTCGGAGGTGGGGGAGCATTTATTCTGGACCTTCTCCACTGAGCCTGTAGGAGCTGCTTCTGACTTAGGGCTGCAATTCTCCCCTTGTAGATGGCTCGGACTCAGAAGAACAAGGCCACTGCGCACCACCTGGGGCTGCTGAAGGCTCGCCTGGCCAAGCTTCGCAGGGAACTCATTACTCCGAAGGGAGGTGGTGGTGGTGGGCCAGGAGAAGGTTTGTGTTGTCCTGAAACATTGTTTTCCTCTGGCGTAAATTTTATCAAAATAATACAGGCATATGGCTCGAAAAAAACCTTTTGAGTTTCTATCAAAGAAGATTTTTGCTTTCTAAGCCTAAATTTGTGTTCAAATCAAATTCTTGATTTGTGTTCATTCTGCTGATTTCAAAGGCAAGTGGATATTATCTAAATAAATTAGGGTTTTTGTTGATGTGTATATTGTACTGACAGATTTACATCGTCTTGCAGAAACATATACATATGGACAATCAAGATAAAAATTAAGGAAATGGATGCCAAGGGATATGAAGGCGGGAAGAATAAGCTTAAGCCAGAGAAATTGAGAGAGAGGAAGTTAGGACCAAAAGTAATGTCAACGTTCTGTACACTTTCTAGAAAAGGGCCATAAATGTGGCTTTGAACCTGCTTGCAGCCAAAATATAAAATAAAAAAGAAAAAGAAAAAACCTAAACAGTCCATTAAACATCGCAAATTGCTATAGGGGGATTTTACTCTAGATATAAACTGTACAAAATTGCAGAAATAGGTCCTAGTCAGATAGGTAACCTGAATGGGAAAGGAATTACATGAGTCTTAATACTCAGGGATAACTTTCTTCCTCTTTTTGATACTTGTTGATGTTGTAGGTTTTGATGTGGCCAAGACAGGTGATGCTCGAATTGGGTTTGTGGGGTTTCCATCCGTGGGGAAGTCAACACTGCTCAGTAACCTGGCCGGGGTATATTCTGAGGTGGCAGCCTACGAGTTCACCACTCTGACCACTGTGCCCGGTGTCATCAGATACAAAGGTGCCAAGATCCAGGTGAGTCAGTCCTGCAGGACAAGGAAGGGAGGAAATCCATCCTTTCATTCATTTAAAAAGCACTTATTGGGAGCTCTCCATATGCCAGAGCTGACTGTGCTTTCTGATCATTGTCCAGCAGGGAGATAGAGCAGTAAAGTCAACTAGTACTACAGTGGGATAGATCTGTGAAAACACAGAGAAAGAAGGGACTACTTTTTCATCTGAGGATTGGGTCTTGGGGAGATCTGATAAGACAAAAAAAAAAAAAAAATAACCCATTTCATGTAGAAAGTGACATTGGAGGTAGGCCTTTTTGTTGTTGTTAATCCTCATCCAAGGATATTTTCCCATTGATTTTTAGAGAGAGTGGAAGGGAGGAGGAGAGACACACAGAGAGAAACATCAATGTGCGAGAGAGAGAGAGTAATTGGTTGCCTCCTGCATGTTCCCTGGCATTGATTGGAATGGAACCCATGATCCTTCAGTCTGCAGCCAGACTCTATATCCCCTAAGCCAAACCTATTAGGGCTGAAGGTGGGTTTTGAAGTTCAAAAGGCATTTCACCAGCCAGTAAAGGTAAAGGGCTACTTCAGGGCGCCATAATGGTGAACAGCCTCCTGTGGTGTGAGCCTAGTGTGGGGCAGAGTGTTAGTAACTGAATCTGGAAAGGTAGGTTGGAGCAGAAACTTGTGTGCCTACTAAGGAAGTTGAATTTTATCTTGTACCTAAGTAGGAGCCATTAGAAACTTTTTTTAAAAAATATTTTTTTATTGATTTTATACAGAGAGGAAGGGAGAGAGATAGAGAGTTAGAAACATCGATGAGAGAGAGTCATCGATCAGCTGCCTCTTGCACACCCCCTACTGGGGATATGCCCGAACCAAGGTACATGCCCTCGACCGGAATCGAACCCGGGACCCTTCAGTCCCCAAGTCGACGCTCTATCCATTGAGCCAAACCGGTCCCAGAAGAAACTTTTAATAAATAATATGATCAGCCCTAGCCGGTTTGGCTCAGTGGATAGAGCTTCGGCCCATGGACTGAAGGTCCTGTTCAATTCCAGTCAAGGGCAGACATCTTGGTTGCAGACTTGATCCCTGGCCCTAGTCTGGGCGTGGGTGGAAAGCAATCAATTGATGTTACTCTCTCTCATGGATGTTCTTCTCTTTCCCCCTACTCCCTTCCCCACTCTAAAAAAGTGGGTTGATATTGAAAGATATTAATAGAGATGAATGTATTTGGCCCCAAAAATGTGAGTCATAATTTTACTTGAGTTATTAGGATTGTGACTTTGAGTAAATCAAAACTTTTGAAACTCAGCTAATATCCTTATCTTATAGGATTGTTAGGCATTTAAAACTTGATAAAATATATTAAAAAACCTGTAGCTGACATTTAGAAGATGCTTAATTAAAATAATATTCACATACTCATAAGGACATTTGATTTGTTATCTCCTATATTTGTATACTTGAGAAAGAAATCATTCTATTTGATCTGCTCAGATTTATTATCAGTTTTTCCATTTCCCCCCCCAATCTTGCAGCTCCTGGATCTCCCAGGTATCATTGAGGGTGCTAAGGACGGGAAAGGTAGAGGCCGTCAAGTCATTGCAGGTGAGTGGTCCAGGGCCACCATCCTGGAATATCATTCCTTTATCAGACAATGTTCTT